CGTTCAGGCTCTGAAGAAGGCATATCTGCCGAAACGTCAGCCACAAGTAATCGAGAAAACCCATCGACCTGAAAGAAGAGCAATCGATTGGGAAAAGATACCAACCTCGTGAAGCTTTAAATAAAGATTAGTTTTCTAAGCTTTTCTTCTCATTTTCAAAGTTTTATATTATTAACATGCCGAGGTTTCAAGAAAGTCGGTCTTTCGAGTTGTTACAAAAAATAACCTAAAATAGGTTGAGGAAAGCTACATGTCAAAATATATGAATGGAAAGGAAAACTAAACCAAAACAAACCCTATGAACGAAGGCAAGGCAAATCTTTTTTTCTATTCCTTTCAAATATACAACGGTATCCTCTCTGCTTGGTAGCGGTCGCGTGTAGTCATTACATACGTAGATCGATCCTAGAATTATTGAATCTTTAGAAGCTTCTTAAAATATTATATGGAACAAAACATCAAAGATTGTGTGCTACATCTACGTGGTACATGCAATATTTCGAACAAAAATGATATTTACAACCAACGTCTGCGACCCTACTTCATTCTGGAGGTAGTAAATTTTCTACGCAATTCTAGTAATATGATACTATCATTGATAAATTATCATTAAGCACATTTAACTAACTTCGCTTTGATTCACAGGGAGAAGTAGATCGTGACGCGCTTGGTAGTGAGTGCATCGAAGACGTCCGTTCTGGAAATGTGCAAGTATTGCCATGAAAATGGTACTACATTCTATTGTGAAAACTACCAATGGACTGGAGTTCTTGGTCCTGAGTAGTTGCCGTGCCATCAGTTTTCTTTTCTGTCGTACAGTCTCGTTCGTCTGAGCTCATTTTCTTAAAACAATGATTAGTACATCAGAGAGAGAGAGACAAAGAGAGAGAGAGAAAGAGACAAAGAGAGAGAGAAAGAGAGAGAGAGAGAGGGAGAGAGAGAGAGAGAACGCGGAGCTGTATACAAAACAGGACGATAAAGTCTGCTGCAGTGAGATCTGGATCCTAATAAAGGTGCGTGACTCGTGGATTTTTTCTTTCAAATGACTAAGAGCACCGATCAGTTTGATAAATGAAACAATCACAAACCCGACGTATTTCAAGAAAATAGATACCTTATAAGATGCATATGAGAAATCTGATTTTCTCGAGTCCTCTCTTATGCTAAAAGACTAGCAGGACTAAAATCACTAGTTCCCACAAGGAAAAACAGATTTGTAAAGTCCAATACGATGATTTAGAAAAAAGGACTTGGCAGATCTTTCAACTAAGATGTTACTACTAGTTGTTTAGCTCTAAAACGGTATTCGACAGTGTACTGTGAGTTGATACCAGAAGAAGTGAACGAAACATTCAAAACCGCCGACACTGAGAACTGCACAACGCACTACAGTAGCAGCCTCGCGTCGAAAATTCTGGAACAGTAAGTTTTCCTATCGTAACTTGTCTTCCTTCCTTGTTGGACAGCGTCACTCTCTATCAAATAGGCAAAGTAATGGGAATGCGGGACTAACTATACAAGATAAGCTTAGAAAACTTTTAAAGTCAATCTGAGCAATTTCCTTACGAGCAAATTCAAGAGGAAAAGGAGAAGCGAGGTTTCAAAATAGCCGACTTAATGCCTTGATATACACATATATGTACGTGTATACATGCACACATCTATTACATGTACAAACATACACATACGCAGTGTACACATATACGCACACATGCCCATGTACATATACAAATTATATATATATATGCACATGTATATATGTATATATGCATACATATATACGTACATGTACATACATATGCGCATATATATACCACACGTGTAATATATATATGTCCATATGCACATATGTACATATGTATACATATATATATTACTGGTATATATATACCAGTATATATATAGATGTATATATATATATATATATATATATATATATACTGGTTCAAGCCGTAAAGTCAAGGAAACGACAATCGACAATCAATCACTCTGAAAGAACGCCACGTTGGTCAGTCTTTTCACATGATCCAGAGTGATCTATACTGCGTCGATCCCCTATGAGAGTAGAGAACGAGTAGCAGAATGGCATATGCTAATAATGGAGGTCTGCGAGAAAGCCGAAACGTACGTCTAGCATTCGAGGTGCCATGCCAGACCTCTCAAAGGCTTGAGAAAATTCTACCAGATCATACAAAATCTCTAAGCAAGGTCTCAAAATAGACGATTGATTGCGTTGAAAAGGATGTCTGTAATTTGAAAAAAAAGCACTTCATAAGACTTTCCTGGATATTCCATGAACATAGGAAACAATCCGCGCCATATCTAATCCCTCGCTTCAACCGACTCAAAAAAGAAAAAGGATAGAGCTTTGGGTGTTGATCAGTCCTCGAGGGATCAGCCATGCATTCGTCTTCACCTAGCAGTGTTTGCAGTGACTGAATGCATATTTGGCCTTCACAATGACTCGCGCTGGCCCATCGATGTATCTAATCAGTGCTGACTTGTCGAGCTTTGGGCGTGGAATCAGACGATTGACCATCGACTGTTCGACCACGCACGTGTCGCAAAGCACCTCTATCCACTGCACCACACGTGCTCAGCCAATTTACGGTGATAAAAGTACAGAAGAATGACTTTTCGAAATTAAATACACCCTGAACATAGCCAATATCTCACTTCAATGAATTAGGACAGCTAAGGTACAGATGACCATCCTAACATTGAAATGAAGACACATTTTGTGATATAGCTCACTGTAGGAAAAGTTCTAATAGAAACAGCTGGATACTTGGACGATCCACCTTCACTGATAGTGCCCCGCACAGGGAAACTGCACTGGCTTAGCTGCTTCGTTCTCTGGAGTCCGGAGGTAAGCCTAATCGGGGGTTCCTCAGGTCGTCACCATATTAGACCAGACGCCGGCCTTTGAGGATGAGAGTGACTATTTACCTTCTGACTAGTAGCTACGGCCGTCATTCTTGGTACTGTTTACTCTTGGCTGGGTTTTTCATGTGGAAACGTCGAACTCCTTCTCAACTTGGATGGCGCTACTGGGGGGTGAGCTCAGCGCTGTACTGCGCAGTCCGATACCCAGGAACCCGTTCCAGCCGCGACGAGGCGGTAAATCGCTCTGTAGGTATGTATAGATAGTGTAATTATAACCAAAATTTTCCATCAGATGGAAACTATAGCACCCCAACAAAGTATTGAATCAGTCAAAATTCTTTTATTTGACCGCCACTTGCGGTGGCATGATGTTATAGTATACCCAATAATGTGATCCCGGAAAGAGTGAGATCTGAGTTCGAATCCCGGCTGACGCAAATGTTTTTGCACAGCATTCCACATTATTGGGTGTATTGAATCAGTCTAGAGGTAATAACATAAAGGAAGTTCTACGTAACGTAACTATGTTCTGTAGATCACGATCATTGTACTAGACCACGTGTACAGTACTACAGTATTACTAGTACACGTGTGACTGCGATCTGTAGTAACCACTTCCCTATCCTATTTGACTAGTACTACATTTTTCCTGTGCTGGTCCCAGCAGATTCGTCTCCTCGTTTACTTGGGAATTTCTTCTATAAGAACGTCGTAGAATACTGGTCGAGCACATCTCCTTATATCGAAGATTGCCACACTGGTGTGTTCAGTAAAATGTTCCTTATCCACTGCCAGAGTGTTGAAGGAGGAAGAGACCATCCTCGAGTCGAGTCGGGCCGAGCACCGGTAGCCACTTGGCCGCCTACCCCCTCCCTCCTCTTCCCCTCCCTACCTTCGTCTCAGGTTTTGTAGCATTAGCAGTAGAAGATATGGAGACCGCACTACCGACATACGACAGAGATCAACAGTAAGAAATAACACCGACAGCGACGAAAACTTACCAGAGTGGCTGTACGAAAAAGATCCGAACACAAAGAAAAGAACGAGTAAATGAAACTAACCGAAAAGATCATCGACTACGAATAATGATACGAACGAAGGCACTCGCTATCACAAGCACTATCACGTCGAAACAACAAATAAACAAACAATAATATACGAATCATCGGAAAAATATAAAAAAATGACGTCAGCGATGAGATGACGTCATTCAGGATTGCACGATATTGAAATAGTCCTTACCACAAATTTTCCTTCCTGATCGTTTACCGCCTCATCGAGGCTGGGTCTCAAATTTTGTTTTGCCTATTCAATCGTTCCTGAGATTCATGTTTCTTTAGCTATATCTCACTAGAAAAGAATCCTCGGACAAAGCTATACCACTGAACCAATGGTGGATCACTGAAACAAGATCGAATGGAGATTGATTAGGTCTTCACTTGGGAAAGAAACGACGACGATCGACCAACGCGATGTTCAAAGTAATGTTCTCAGTTTCTTTCAGATGATTTACCGCCTCATCGTGGTTGAGAGGTGTTTTTGGGCGCCGGACTGCGAAGTCGAGCGGGGGTTCAATCACCTCCACAGGGCCACCCAAGATGATAAGGAAACCGACGTTCGCACTCGGAAAGCCCAGCTAAGAGTAAACCGCGCCAAAAATGGCCACCGCCATGGTAGCTACTAATCGCAAGCTGATAACTTGCTCTGATCCACAAGGGCCGGCGATTGCTCTTATGCGATGAGGACTTGAGGAAACCCCGGCTGGCTCACCTCGGGAATCCAGGGAATAAAACAGCCAGCACATTTTCGTGTCCTCGGGTAGGGTCGATCCGTGAAGACGGACCGTCAAAGTGCCTAAGTAAGTGAGACTACCCTCGCCATTTTGTCTCACCTGAAAGGCAACTTTTGGAAGAAGGGCGAGTATCTACAGTTCCCTACAAATTAGATGGACCTTTTCTTATATAGACTTTTCTTATATAATACTATAAATGTCGAGCATTAGTTACTAGAATGGCTTTCAGATCAAAAGGGTTTGTAAAGCGATATAGCATACCCGACCAAACCTGTCAAAGGCTAACAGTTATAACTTAGAGAATAGTGGTGAGCAAAAACACGGCCTCAGGCGAGAATCGAACCCACAATTCATCCTACCCGGGGACGCATGCTCTACCACTTCACCACCGAGGCACATTTGCTCGACCACTCATTCTTCAACATCTCTACGTTAGCTATCAGCCACGAACCTCTAACAGGTTTGGTCGGATATGCGATCTCGCTTTATAAATCCCGTTGAGCTGGCAGCTATTGTTATATATAATACTTCGAAATTATACTATTTCTACTGCTTTTTTCCGCAGTGCTATGATGTACTTATGAAACTCAGAGAATTGAGTGGTGAGCAAAAAAAAAGGTAGAGCAAGCGTCCCCGGATAGGATGGACGCGAGTTCGATTCTCGCCTGAGGCCGTGTTTTTGCTCACCACTCAATTCTCTAAGTTATATAAGTAACATCATAACATTACGAAAAAAGCAGTAGAAATACTATAATTTCGAAGTGTTATAGCTAACAGCTATCATAGAGATTTTCGAGAATGAGTGTTGACGCGAATGTAGCTGGTGGTGCAGCCGGTATGGATGAAACGCGGGTTCGACTCCCGCCTGAGGCCATATTTTTGCTGACAACTTAAAACTCTTAGGGATATATAAAACATCATGACAGTGTGAAAAATGCAGTAAAAATACTAAAAATGTCGTTTCTCCTATAATAAAATAAAGCTCCAAAATTCTACAGTCCTCGTAGGATTTTTTTGTGAATATATGTACTTTAAGCACGAGAACAACGAAACGCAGTGGACTTTATCAAAAAAGAGACAACAAAGATCTAATGTCCAGAAAACCTTCAAGAATCAAAAAGTCGAGAACCGCGCAATTTTGACCTACCTAGGCTGAGAATTTAAGGACGTCATTTTCCGCCTTGCGCGCTTCCGTTTGATTAGAGCGCGATATTTCCGAGCGCCATTTTGGGCGCACATTTTCTGAGGGAACTTGGGAAAAAGGCCAGGTGAACTCGTCGTTTCGGGAACTCTTCATACTTCAAGATATAAGAGAGAAAAGCAGGCCAGAGAAACAATAATTCAAGACATAAGAAGGGGTCGCTATCGAAGGGGTCACATATATCTTTGGCGCAAGAGGGCAAATTCTCCTTCTAGGTTCGGGATATTTCCAGTACTTTATTTACTTTATTTATTCATTAGTTATTTATTACCTATCATTCTTATTATTTATTACTATTATTTATTATTTATTAGTTAATTATTATTATTTATTTATTAGTTCTTTATCTATTTACTTTACTCGTTTATCTTTTCTATCCGTATTTTTACATCCTATTTATCTTATATTTATAACTACGTGAATTTTATTTACTTACAAAGAAAACGTCAGCTCCAGCTGAATTGATGCTCGTGGCGGATGACGTCATTTGTCCGTAATTGCGGACGTCTTATCGCGGACGCGGGATGGCTCGAAACTTAGTGTGGTTGTCTTTTGATTTACTTCTTCCTTCGCTTCTAGCTCTGTACCCATTCGAGAACGAGGTTCTCGTCGGGTCGACAGACTATTTCCCAGGCGATTTTTTTCGGTTCCCAAATCGCAAAACTCATTCCAAATACCGACTTCCGCTAGCCCTCGGCATGTTAATGTAGAGTGAAAAATGCCAAAAGTTCCTCATATATTTGAGAGAATTGAGAGGTAAGCAAAAATCCGACCGAGGCGGGAATTGAACCCGCGTTTCACCGATACCACGGGCGCGTACTACCACTGACACCATCGAGGCCATCGCTTACTCCTCACCACTCATTCTTCGATATCTCACCATCGTACATACCAGCCAGCAGCGAGGTTTGGTCGAATGAGCACGTCTCGCTTTCTGAACCACTCAGTTCTCTTAGGTTTGTTCGAAACGTCATAGCACTGCGAAAAGGGCATTTAGGACATAGGGAATCTTGAGTATTATATAGGCTAAGATTCAAAAGTGCTGTGCAAAACGAGCGTCGGTGGTGCAACGGTTAGCATACGCTACCGGAAAGTGTGACATCTGGGTTCGAATCCCGGCTGATGTCAATGTTTTTGCACAGCACCCCACATTATTGGGTATATGTTACGATTTTCTATAATAAAATATCTGTTCTTTTTCATTTTTTATTCAACATGGCTTGCCGTCTAATCTTGGCTAGGAGGTACTCCTGGGTGTCGCCCTGCGAAGTACAGCGGGGGGTTCAACCTCCCACCAGCACTGCCACCCGCAGCGTTTGGCGCAGTGGTTAGAGATGCACCACGACACACACGTAGTTGACCGTTAGATGGTCCATGGTTCGATCTCGTGCTCATGGCTCACGAAGCCATCCATCCCTCGGTGGCGGTGATTTGGTACCAAATGTCTGGGGACAGCAGCACTTATTCGATACAGCGGGAGGCCACCACAAGTCATTGTGAGGGCCAGATATGCATTCAATCACCTCTAACGATGCTACGAATGGAATCGAATGCATGGCTCATCTCTCAGGAGTTGATTAACGCCGAGAGTTTCATCGTTTAGAGGATGACTCAGAGTAGTTTCTGTCTCGATTCAATCATTGAAAGAAACTCTTCCTTTCCATTTCGAGCAGTATTTACTTCGCTATCATCCTCCCGGATGGTTTACCGCCTCATCATAGCTAGGAGCTGTTCCTGGGCGTCGGACTGCGAGATACAGCAGGGGTTTCACCCCCCAACACAGCCACCCAAGCTGACAAGGGGTTCGACGTTTCCATGCGGAAGTCAAGCTAGGAGCAAATCGCACCAGGAATGACCACCGTCTTGGTAGCTACTGGTCTCAAGTTAGTTAACCTCTCTGATCCACAATCGCCGACGATTGCCTGATGTGGTAACGATCCGTGAGAGGCCCTGGCTAGGCTGACTTGGGACTGCAGGGAAAAGGAAATCGACTCATCCAACAAGAAATAGGGGCATCACTTCCCAACAGTTTCGTTTGATACACAATAGCCTCTTCCTTAAGTTTTTGCTCTCTGCTGATAGCTCTATGTACGGAGATTTTATCGCATGCGCCATCTGTCTAAAGATATATCTGTTTCCCCGCTTAATTCTTTAGAAAAAAAGTACTTGTTTCTTGAGAATACCTTCTGTGTTGCAGCTTTTGTAGCAGTGTTATGATCTTACCAACTAAATGATTGAGGCTACTGATCGATATACAAAACCTTGAGCCTTGGGAGGGAGTTGAACCCACGTCCCACCTGATTCTTTTCATGTATTTCGTTTCGAGTGTTTTCTTAAAACCACTGCTCAAATTTCAATATGCCTGATAATCTTTATTTGAGCCACGCATGTCAGTGGTCTATCAATGAGCGCTGAGTTATAGAGCCCGATACATGTGTTTCGATCTTGCGATCTCGTCAGTCGGGCATGGATATATTGAATATATCAGCCAAGAGCAATCGAGTGTGCAGCACTCTGTGTTTGGTGAAAATTTCACTGGACATAGAGTGTAAAACGTTCGTCGTCGCTAATTCTTAGTGTGGGGACTGGAGCTCCTACAGAGATCAGCAGAAGACGAGAAAGGGTAACTGCCCGACTGACGAGATCGCAAGATCGAAACACGTGTATCGGGCTCTATAAGTCAGCGCTCATCGATAGACCACTGACATGCGTGGCTCAAATAATGATTATCAGGCATATTGATTTTTTTCAGTTATCCGGAAGCTAGTGAATATTTGACCTCATTCGCCGGACAAGAATTTTTCATAGGAGTGTTAGTAGTCATTCGAAGGCTCAAATCTCTAGAGCCGTACGGGGGCGGATATTTGTTCGCCCCCGGACAAGCGAAATAAACCTCTAGCCCTTTCTGGGAGCCGGGGTTGAAGGATTCGCGTACCACTCAGCATTCTTGGATATTTAGCACGTTTTATTTATTCGTTGTATCGCCCTTTAGGCGCGTCAGTTATTGAATTGATCGATCTTTTTCAGGAATAATGACAAACGAACGGAAGAGACGAGCACCAGCTGGCGAAGACGAGTGTGGTCGAAGTGTTGCGGATACACCTCAAACCTCATCAGCACCACCTCGGTTAGTTGATTTCCAGGCAGTTATTAGTTGTTTGTTTTACATCTTGCTGTAAAATTTCAGCATGAAGAGGTTGCAGAAAATGAGTGCATACGACCGAGCAAAGAAGGTGTACGAGCGAATTCAGGAAGAAAAGGCCAGAGAAAGGATTCTGCGTCAGCAAGAACGTGAACAAAGACACCTGAGCCTTCAGAAGTATCTCGAGTCGAAAAAGAAACGTAACAAAGTCCTTCGCAAATGCAACAAGAAAGGTCAACCGAATTTGGGCGCTCAGGTGGAAATACTACTGGAAAAGCTGGAAAAGGAGGACAAATGACTGCGATCCCTTTTGTGGAGTTTGCTTACAATTTCAGGATTTGTTCATCCTGTTGTGAACTATGCAAAAGTATTTCATCGGATAAATATTTCTCCATGATAACTTGAAGTTGGGTCCGTGGTACTCACTCCATAGAAAGTTACCTGAAGCTCGTTCCTCTTGATTTTTACATCCACTATGCCGTACAACTCAGTAGTTATGCGCTAAAATTTATCTCATCATTGCTCCAATAATGGATTGATTGGGTTGGCCACGGATTTTCCGTTTTTTTTTTCGTTCTTCGTGAAAGTTTTCCATGCATTTGTGTTTTTGTTGGTTCTTTTCGGTTATAAGAGGATAGATTAAAAACCTATCTCTTTCACTGAAGAGGAACTTTCATAGGAGTGTTAGTAACCATTCGAAAGCTGAGATTTCTCACTACAGCCTCACATGGCCGGTTTTCGAAAAGACGCTTTTATACCCGCTTAGCATTCAACATTAAGCTATGTCCCAGACGCGCATATTTCTCGCTGGACAGAGCCCTTTCTTTGGACTATTAGTAATCGTTCGATAACGCCATGTTTGCTGATTGTGCTTATTTTCTGGAAATACCGTTTCTCTGCAACGCAGCAGGGAAAATATGATTGATTTACTTGAGAAAGCAAGGTGGTCTTTATGCCACAAAATCGTTTTTAAGCCATGCATGTCGTGTGGTCTGTCAATAAAAGGGCTGGCTTATAGAACCCGATACACGTGTTTCGATCTTGCAGTCTCG